ACCTGCCTAGAATCCCCCAGTGAGGGACTGGGCTGTGGCTCAGGAGCAGATGGATTATCTAGAATTTACACCAGTGAGGACCCAGGGGTGTGACTCAATGATAGAGCACTTGCCTAGAAGCCACTAGTGAGGATCTGGGGGTGTGAACCAGTGATAAAGTGCTTACCCAGCTTGCTCAGGGCTTCGGATTCCATCCCTAACTCCTCCCAAAGGAAAACAAAACAGATAAGACATTAGCATTTTCTGCAGTGGATGAATTTGAGGTCACTTTTTTGGAGGGGGAGGAAGTAAAGAAACCAGGTATATTCAGCTCACAGTTTTGGACACTGGAAGTTCAAACAGCCTGGCACAGACTCTGGTGAAGGGTCCTGGCTCTATCACACTGTCAAGGGAACGCGTGTGTCTGTGTGCTGATACCATTTTTTGTTTTGTCTGTTTGATTGACTCTTGAGATAGTGTGATGGCCGATCTTGGTGGTTGTCAAGTTGAGGCACTTGGGGAAAGAGCTCTCAATTGAGGAATTACCTCCATCAGACTGGCCGGTGGGCATGTCTCTGCATTTTCTTGATTCAATGGATGTGGGAGGGCTCAGCCCACTGCGGGTGGTGCCATCCCTAGGCAGATGGCCCTGAACTGTGTAGGAAAGGTAGCCGGGCAAGCCAGTAAGCACTGTTTCTCCACGGTCCCTGCTTGGGTTCCCGCCTTGAACTTCTTCCCTCGGCGATGGACTGTAACTGTCAACCAAAACAAACCCTCTCCTTCTAAGATGCATGGTAAGAGTGATGTATCACAGCAACAGAAAAGGTAGTTAGGGCAGATAGCCTCACTATATAGCCCAGGCTAGCCTTGACCTCGAGATCCCGCTGCTCCCAATGCTAGGATTCCAGGCATGCTTCCAACCTACCTGTCCACTGCCACTTTTGACAAGAGCTGGAATGGAGATGTGCCCAAGGCTTGCCCATCACCTGCCTCCCTGCAGGAAACCTGACAGGCTAGAACCCACAGAAGGGGAGAGGAGTCAGTCTCATCATATGGGAAACAAAAGTAGGTGATGGTTTCTGAGGAAGAAGAAAGGAGACTGAGCCCGCCCATATCATGGACTGGTCCGGCTGCCCCCAGATGCATACTGAGCTAGAGAAGAGAGGGGATTGGCAGCCTGCCTGGGGACTAGACCTGCCCAGGCCTGTGCACCCCAAGAGAACAGAAACAAGGAAAACAGATGTGGGGCTGGGGAGATGGCTCAGTTGGTGAACGGCTTGCCATGCAAGCTTAGAGGCCTGAGTTTCATCCTGAACGCCCACGCAAAAAGCCGGGCATGGTGGTGCGTGCTTGTATGCCTTGTGCCAGAGAAGCCGAGATAGGAGGGTCCCCGGGGCTCATTGGCCAGCCAGCGTGGCCTAATCGGTGATACTCAGGGTCTCCCAGTGAGAGACCCTGGCTCAAAAACTAAAGTAGGGGCTGGAGAGATGGGTCAGTGATTAAGGACACTTGCTGTTTTTCCAGAAGACCTGAGTTCATTTGCAGCACCCACATCGAGGGGCTCACAACCACCTATAACTACAGCTCCAGGGGAACCCACACCCCTGGCCTCTATAGGCACTGCACTCACGTGTTGCACACACATACACACACACAATGAAACATGCTAAAATCTTCTGAATTTTTAAAATTAAATAAAGTGATGGCTCCTGAGGAAAGACACCCAAGGCTTCCCTCTGACCTCCACAGGAACATGCACACACTCACAGAGTAAACTCTATAGTGGGGCGGGGGAAGATACCTCCACTGGAAAACAGCTGTCCCTCCATCCTGGGCTTAAGCTCCTGCACAGTGTCACTACCAGACATAAGGTGTTGATGGGGATATCACAAAGCAGTGAAGGGCACACAGCCCACCCCCTCAGGGAATAAAGTAAATCCCAAAGCTGTGACTATGAGCCCCCACCCCGGAACCCCATGCAAAGAGCTGAGAGAAAGCAGAGTGGGTCCCTATGCCTCCCCGGCCCAGGTAGTGCTCACTCAAGCATGACAGGGGACAGAGAATGGGACACAGTAGGCCCTTGGTGAGAGCCTGAGGTGGGAGCTTGGGGGGATTTAGGGAGCTCAAAGAGGGTGGACAGCAGAGAGGTCATGGTTCGCCAAGAGATGGGGGGGTATGATATGGGAGTTCTGGGGAGCAGCAAGAAGACGTCTAAAAGCTGCTGAGGTGGTAGAGGAGCCCAGTGGTCAAAATCCCAGCCATGCAAACATGAGGACCTGAGTTCAGATCTCGGCACCCACAGAAAAGTCAGGCGTGGCGGCCCGTAATTCCAGCACTGGGAAAATGAAGATGAGGGGGCTCCTGAGGCTTGCTGACAGCCTGTCTAGACAAACCGGCAAATTCTAGATCATCTTTTCAAATATATATATATATATATGTTTAATAAGTATACAACATTCTGTTTGCATGTATGCTTGCAGGCCAGAAGAGGGCACCAGATCTCATTACAGATGGTTGTGAGCCACCATGTGGTTGCTGGGAATTGAACTCAGGACTACTGGAAGAACAGCCAGTGCTCTTAACCTCTGAGCCATCTCTCCAGCCCTTATCTTATAGTAAATAAACAGATAATAATAAGAGGGGGAGGAGGATGAAAGCTATGGAGGAAGAGAGGATGATCGCTGGAGCTCAATGGCCAGCCATTCCAGCTGAGTAAGTGAGCTCCAAGTTCACTGAGCGACCCTGCCTCAAAAACTAAGGTGGAGTGTGAGCAGGAAAACACTTAACATCAGCCTCTGGCCTCCACATAGACATTCACACGCATGCACAGATGCACCTGTATGTACACAGACACACACAAAGCTGTTGTGTTGGCCAAAGTGACAAGCTGTGAAAATGAAAACTTCAACAAGAACCAGACCCCCCTTTAGGACCCCGAGTGTTCCAGGTCTGTGATGTGGTCTGTGTCAACACCATCATGAAAAACAGGGCCTCCATCTTCCCTTCAGATGGAGCCCCGCTTCCTAACCCCAGCCCTCACTACCATGTCCACATCTGCCCTCTGCTGCCCTATCCAGGCAACCAAATCCATTGAAACATCCCAGCTGAGAGCAACTGCAAGGCATGCTGGGAGTGAGTGGTCACTGGGCCTGGGGAGGGGCGGTAGAAAGGGGCTGACAGCTCTTTTCTTGCTGGGTACAAATGAAGGTGACCAGAGGGCTGCCAGAGAGGATTGGACCAATTCCAGGTCCCTGAAGAGAAGCAGTAAGGAACAGGCAGAGGGGGGGTATCTTACCTGAGGACGGGAATGCCCAAGGGCCCCTCTGAGGTTGCTGTGAGCTCATATCTCAACCTCTGTACTGCTGGTCCATCTTTGCACAGCCCAGCTGTAGCAAAAATCTTGTCCAGTCGGTTTATCTAGAAGCCCCACCCCCAGCATCTGGCGAAACACTCCCACCACCCCAAAGTGATTGTTAGCTCCCCACCTTGGCCTGTCTCCACAAGCACCATAGTTGGTCTGCTTAACCAGACTCCCCCATTAGTATCTTTCCATGTATTGACACCTGTCCCACCCCCAGGTCCTTGACAGCATAGTCCATGCTGTGTTCCTAATTAAGCTGCTTCTGTCCTCAGATCTCTGCCCCCAGAATTAAATATGACTTCAGCACTTTAACTTTCTGTCTTTTGGTGTGTGTGTGGGTGTGTGTGTGTGTGGGGGGGGTGTCCATGCGTGTGTC